GTTATTTTTTCTGGTCACACTTGGCCAGGAAACATACTGGCAAGACTTCAGGATCTAAGCTTGTGCGGTTGACTGAAATGCGTGTACAGACAAACATACACATACACACACACACACACACACACACACACCGTAGATCGTAATATGCGTTTTTTCATGTAAATGCATTTTTTGCGTTGTTGCACATGCGAAAACGCAAAAAATTGTAGTTTTACAATGGCACATTGGAATGACGACATTCTTTAGCTTTTGGCTACTGTTACCATGGGCGGGTCCAGGACGGACTCCTGGAGGGGGGAGGGTGGCAGCGGGTGAGAAGGGAGAGAGGAGGGGACAAGGGAGAGGGGAGGGGCGGGAGAGAGTGGGGTCCCTGGAAGGATGGTGGGGGGATTCCGTATGGAACTGTGCAAAAAGCATGACAGATTTGTAATATTGCTACTTAGAGTTGCTTTAAAAAGTTACTTTAGGCTTTAGGTTTAGGTTTAGACCCGGGCTTCTGCAGCACTGGCGCCTGCGTCGCTGGAGGGAGCAGGGGAGGGGGAAAATGGGACGGGGGAAAGGGGAGCGGGATAAAAGACCCATCGCCCCTCCCAGCCTGCCCCCAGGTGCGCCTATGACTGTTATACACCAATCATTGTGTGAATCAATTTGAGCAGTGTGTCGTATCACGTCGATAACGCCATAGCCCACTACGCTGATGATGCTGCACTGCTGTGTTCTACTTGACGCGCACGTGGACATGCCAGTATAAAGTGCTTCCTGCGCTAGCAGTTTTGTCGTCGTTATTTGTTCGTCGTTCGTCTATCAGTAACAGTTCGGCTATATTTCGTCTATCAGTAACAGCTCGTCTTTCGGCAAATCGCGCAGGACATAACAACGACTTTCCTAATGCTTTCCCTTCCCACAGAACGGATTGCACTTTGATTTTAATAAAGAATCCCCGCTGAAAAAAATTTGCTGTCCAAAAGTTCAGTTTAAAAATCGTGACTTCAGGAACTTTCATAAAACCTGATATTTTTTTAAGAAATAAAAGGAAGCTAAATCAAACCAATTGAGCTTGGTCGTTCTGGCCCGACTTAAACTTTACAAAAGTTCTTTCAATTTTGAACTTAGAAAATAATTGGCCAACTCATCGGATGCCGGTACGAAAATGCGTTTTTGCATAGTTCCCCGCAATTTCTGTCCCTACCGGCACCGGTTTGCTTCTACCTAAACAAATAAGACTAGCCACCAGAACTGTCAGGAAACACCCCTTAAAATCTCGGCTTTCTAGCTTTCCTGGCTCTCGAATTAGCAACTTACTCAAAAAAAAAATTTCACGAGCCCATACTTAGGTACCACGCACACCGAGTGGGCTGGATTTGAGCTCATTAATACTTACTTGGATGGGGAACATCCCGTAAAAATTCCAATCCCCTAGCTTTCCAGGTTCTCGAGTTAGCAACTTACCCGCAAAAAATTTTCACAGGCCTGCACGTGGGTACCACGCGGGTGAGAGCGCCCATTTTGGAGATTGGTGCCCGTACGTGCATGTAGATCAAGTTCTCAAAGCTTCAGTCCTGTAAGGTCTTGAGATGAAAAACCGTGACAGACGCTCACACAGACAGCCCCTCGTCAATATGCGTTTTCTGCATTGTATAGATGCAAAAAACGCATAAAAAGAAATGTAACTAACTTAGCTTGAGCTATCTTATGCAGTTCAGATGAAAGAGTGTTCAAATCAACCGCCGGCGACCGCATCCTTCAATTTTGTGCCGGTTACTGTAAAATTTGCATAGTGAGTTTGAATGTGGTTTTGACGTAACTGCGTCCAGCAAGCATATCACA